ATCGAAAATATAAAAGGAAGGATCGGGGAAGAAAAATAAAAACGTTTGTCAAATAATCCCCCTTTTTCGTAAACGCAGCTTTATCACAAAACAGTTGAACTTACACTTCGCTGATGATTTAGAATTTCCTGTGATTAAAAGCCGCCTGTTTCGGAAAAAAAGTTAAGACCACACGGGGTTCAGCTAAATCGTAGCACGAGAAAATCATAGTCAAAGATGGGGTGGCGAAGCTTTCGATAGTTTCCTATAGTTTCCTCTTCTAAGGATTGCTTAAAAGCAAGCTGATGGTGAGTGTTTGACCTCCTGGCAAATGACACTGCCAGTTTATCTTCGAAACGAATGAAGAAGGAGGAATTGGTTGTCCCATCGGCGGTGACGATCTTTCGATCTACTGCACAGTGTTACTCCTCTGCGCTATGTACTAATACAGGGCAGAAAAATAATCAGATTATAATGATTAGTAAGACATTGTGGAAGATTTCCATTGTAAAACACTTCCCTGGTCTCTCATGGATAGTGGTGGTTTAATACGACATCGCATGGAACTTCCTTTTGTATATCATTGTGTGTAATTTGCAAATAGTAGTGAGCATGCCATCGATCTCTGTTCTTTTAGGTCGAGCTTATACATGCAAGTTCTGCAACAGGTGGCTGGTACCACCGAACAGTTGGGTGTTCGCCGAACGAGAATCCAAGGAATTGCTCGCGATTTTGTTGAAAAAGCTGAGGCCCACAATGACTAAGGTTATTTCATTGTATTTCTAACTTTTTGTTCCAAAAAAAACTTTTCTACAATTCCGTTATTTCTTAATGGATAGGAGATTTTAAAGGCAAAAAGTGAGCATTTTGCTGAAATATTTTTAAGAAATTTGGAAACAGCTTCCAGGCCATAAATGTTGCTCTTTTAGTCCTCCATTTTCATAACTGTACAAAGATTGGAATTCCCCTCCGGTCAATAATCCAATTTAAAATATTTTTCTATCTAACCGAAAGGTTGCAGAATTTACCGCACCTCTGTCTTTGTTGAATGTGTTGGATATTCCAGGTACGTTTGGTCGACGCGTCATTTGTGTGGACGGAACCTCACTCCAAAAGAATCAAGCTGAAGTTGACTGTGCAGAAAGAGGTTGTAACCGGTGCGGTGCTTCAGCAAATTTTCGTTTTGGAATTTGTAATTTTGAATCAGGTATGCTTGTAATTCTAAAATATTTCATCAGTTAATTATGTTGTTTTATCTCCTGCGAATTTTTTTATTGTTCTC